ATTAGTAAAACAAATTTGAAATTCGAATTTTCAACGCACTCAATTCAATGGAACTAACCCAAAATTCATTATCCTAAATATTGAAATTAAAGCTCGTATAAAAAGAAATTCAATCAAGTTGACATATATATATATTAGGGTGATTCAAAAAAAAAAAATAATTTTTTTTTTCGTGCAAAGAGGTTCAAAAGTTTCTTTTCAACGTAAAAAAATACCAGTTAAAATTTGAGCTCTTAATATTAATATTAAGACCGTCCGCATCGCGTTTTTCTATTTCCCATAAGAATAACATGGGAAAATTTTTGTTTGCACCTTCTGATTTTTATTGCTAGCCCGTCGTGTGTCGTGAAAAAAATTCAATCACATATTTTTATAGAGAATTGAACGCTCTACAAAAAGTGTCTCCTATGATTGTGCGAGAAACCTGATAGTTGAAGAGTTATTTTAGGCTAAAGTTAAATTTATCCAAATTTTGACGTTTTTGATGCATTACAATAAATTTGATGGTCTTATTGGAATAAATCACCACAAAAATTTATACACATTTTAAATTTAGTTTTTTAAACAGTAATTGTTTATAATTGTATGCTATAATAAGGCCAGTAAAACTCTTTCCGAACATTTTCAGCATCAGTGGGTTAAAAAATCATAGTCAGGTTTCTCGCAAAATCATAGGAGACACTTTTTGTAGAGCGTTCAATTCTCTATAAAAATATGTGATTGAATTTTTTTCACGACACACGACGGGCTAGCAATAAAAATCAGAAGGTGCAAACAAAAATTTTCCCATGTTATTCTTATGGGAAATAGAAAAACGCGATGCGGACGGTCTTAATATTAATATTAAGAGCTCAACTTTTAACTGGTATTTTTTTACGTTGAAAAGAAACTTTTGAACCTCTTTGACACGAAAAAAAAAATAATTTTTTTTTTTTTGAATCACCCTAATATATATATACCTTTTTTTAATGAAGGGGCCTTCGTGTAACATTGGTTGCATACTGCCATGACATTTGTATTTTTTTTTACTGGACATAAGGATTAAATCCATACTTACTTTCATATCTTCGGAGTTAAAAATAGCCCCGATCTCAGAATTTCAAAAAATAAAAACAAGTGTATTGACCAAATTTGAATTAAAATTTCGCGCTAAAAAAAAACAACGGCGCGAAATCACATTTGAATAATTTGAATTTGAAAAAAAATTTAATCAAGAAAATCGTTAAACACAGGCAACCATGTGTAAGTTTAGTTCTTTTCTGGTAGTTGGTAGCTCTCCTAGGGAATTTCTGGGTAATATCTAGTGAGAGGGTTGGTAGTGAAGTTTACTTGTTTGCTAGAATGTGAACGAATCGACGACGATGCCACAGTTTCCCCAACAAGTTATAAATACGGTTTCTAGATGCTTATACTTAAGTGTTACATCATAACACTTCTTAATTCCTCACACAAGATTGCTAATAGTTCATTTACGGCAGTTAAATGAACCTAACGTTGTCCACTCTGGGAAAAAGCCCGTGGAAAGTGCGGTAGAATTGATAATATCGTCAACCGGGGAATTAAAAATTGTTCTCCCCTTAGGCAGTTATCATATCATTATCACATCACCGAGACACAATTCGCGCGACGTTGGAAATCACACTACCGAGACGTAATTTCGCGACGCGGGATGCATTTTGTGTTTCTTTTATCATGTGTTTTGTTTGGGATAAGCTGGGGACAGTCCACGATATAAACTCTCAAAGCTAATTGTTTTTAAGTAACCAGTCACTTGTTCTTTTTTTGAATAATTGATAAAGTGTGGTAAATATTAAGTTCATGTAATTTTGTCTGCTTTGCAATTTTTCACCTCATGCAATTTTTCTCTATCTCACAACTTTAGTCTAAGCAATTTTCATTGTCGTATAATTTAAATTAAACCTAAATATTTTGTTGATTAATGCTTCCATCATATATAAATTGTCTGCTGTCCAATCTTAATTTCAGATACGAATTTTTTTGCTGTTTAAAATTTCACGAGAGTGTATGCCGAATTTAAATGTTGTTTATTGCCCTTTTTGAAACTTTAAACACTTGTTCGGTTATAGTTTAGTATCAGAGGCATTGAAAGTGAACATTTAAAAGGGAATTGGGGTAAATAACACAGACATATGTGGCAGAAACGGAGGGCGCGGTTCCTAGTCGAGTTGGCGGGATTTATTGCGCCAACCTTGGGGTCCACCACTTGTACCTGAACGCATTCCGCCACAAAAAAAAATACAACATAGGGTTCCATTTTGTTAGACGATCACAGCCAAGGGCGGCAAATTTTTTAATTTTTGAATTCTTCGTGGGCTTCCAATTTTTTTTTCACATGTCAATTAAGGGGAAGTTTGGGTTATCATTATCACACAACATTGATTTCGAAAAATTAGAATATTGTCAAGACGTGTTTAAAAAAGGAATAGTAGGTAAATTCGTATTACTAATTTAGAATAATCATAATAACCCCAAGGGCGTACAAAATTTGACAACCAACTTCGTAGTTTTTGCTACACTTGAAGACTTCATACCACTAGTTGTTAAATATAATTATTGATACACTCTTACACACAAATTAAGTTTAGGGATTGTTTATTTGATTTGTTTTACTTTCCAAGCTTAACTAATAGTATGTAATAAGTATTATAGAATATCTGTCGTCTATTGATGGTTTTATTTAGTCGGTTTTATAGCTTAACTACTGCTCAGCTTTACGACTGATGAATATTAAAACAATATTTGGATTAACACTTTAAGATATGTTCTTTCTGGAAAAAAACGTAGTATAAATGTAATTAAGCCTTTCATAATCCTAAAAATCATTATCAAAAATATTCAGCTAGAGTATAACACAATGAATTTTCCATTTCCATATGTCTGTCTGTCTGTCTGTCTGTCTGTCTTCCGGTGTCGATTTTTATTAGACTGATAATCTCGGAAACTACTGGACCGTTTGTTGTCAAATTTGTCTAATCATCTACACCAACAATGCGATTACGTCACCTCAAAATGTTGTATAGTAAATGTGATTTAAATTTTGATTAAACAACACACTTCTATGCCTGTAGTTATTGAATCCATTTTATCTTTTATCTTAGATATTCAGATTTTTCGAAAAGAAATAGAAATGATTAAACAACATTTTACAATTTAACTTTGAAATTGCAAAACCGAGTGCTGTGAAATCTTGCAAAGGTTTTAAGGTTGTCGTAAGCATTGCAAATCGTCAATAAAAATTGTATCAAATAAATCGTATCTAAAATATGTAAAATATTAGGAGAGAAAATATTTATTTTATGGACCAAATCAAGAACGGCTCCGTCCATTTTCCAGAAAATTTTGGAGCATAGCATAATTGTTATTAGTATTAAACTGCACCAATCTAAATTGATATAGGTAACATAGTCCTTGCCAAAATGTCAATGGCGTCATTTATTTATTTTAGTGCATTTTTACATTTATTTACATTTTTAATTTCATCAATCATCAGCAATTCAACTTGAATATGAAATTTAATTATTACAAGTCCCTCCACTAAACAAACTCACATGTTACGCCGCCTATGGTACTACTACTGTAACTATGGAGTACCATTCATCAATGATCAAGAATGATCAAGAATGATCGACATTTTAAACATGAACAAGATCTAGAACTGGAAGACTGCGGTATAGATGAGTTCCAGGAGGAAGTAATTAATGAAAATGAGAGGTCATACTTCACCAACAAGCAGCTACGTAATACATTTGAGCGAAGTGAGCCCTGCTTAAAAATCGAAAAACCGTTTTATACTGAAATAATAATTTATTAGGAGTTGCTAAAATTAAACTTAATAAAATTTAATTTTTGAATTTTTTTTTCTGAAATTTTGACACGATTACTTCCAAATAAATTGTTGCAATTACACCAAGACGACTACAAAAAAAAAACAAACAAATTTTGTAATAAAGAATACACAAAACAAATTCTGTTTAGGGAGACGATCGTAAAATGAACAATTAGAAAACACAAACGAGGTACTTATTTTTGCCGCCAACAATACTTATCGCAATGCGTAAACAAGTGAGAAACCAAAAGTATGTCGTATATGCCAAAATGGACTTGGATTTTTGATATAATTTTAATAAATTGAATGAAACACTATACATCCATTTTTAATAAGAAACAACCTCACAGCATTAAAAAGTGTGACAATAAATATAAAAAATTAATTTACTATGGCTACCTGTAAAAGGTAACAATACAATTTGATAGCTTAGTAGTAATAATACATATTAAAATAAACAATTCAGATTTTAACAGTTATTATAATTCATGCAAATTTATGACACAAAAGTATTTTTCTGGACAATGAAAAACGACCAGATTTGAAAAAATCCATATAATGAAACCATAAAAATTTTTTGCGTCCCAATATTGTTCGCCGTTATAAATTCAGGGTGCGGTAAACTGTCGTAAATTTTTATTCAACACTAATATTTTAATGATACACCAGTATTCCTAAAGGAATTCGAATAAAACCCAAAATATTTCCTCAAACAAACAAAATTTATTAGACTTCTGCTGCGCATACATTAAATCTGTCCACAATTAAAACGTGTAAATGACAGGTAAGAAAAAACAATACTATTGGTTATCTAACCAGCTGAAACATATTAACAGTATCTAGCCAAGAATTCGAATAAATGGGTTCCTTAAACTGCGTTACGAAATTTATTGTTTTATTGGCCATAAATTAGAATTTCAATGTTAACTAAATAATTGCTCAACAGCAAGGTGAACTATTTGGCAATTAATATTCGGAATAAACACGCTCCGACTGTTTAATTCAAGAAACAAAAACTCGATCACGGAAATAACATAATCGATAGATCTTATCGACAGCTCCCACTACCTAGACCGGACTAGATACAGACACGAATCGTGCCGACACATGTTTTATCACGAATTTAAACTAAGAAACAAAAAGAAAAACTTACCGAAGTGAAAAAGTCCCGAGATGATCAAAACCGTCAAAAAACGATTCATCGTCGATTCACGGAACACTCAGTACGGTAAAAAATACCCGAAAAGACATAGAGCGTGTGTTACGAGATGACTAGTCGGCAGCTAATTAACAGAATCCATTAAAAAACAATAACAAAATCTGTGCTCGTATACTTACCCCACTAACCTTAAACTGATTACGCCAACCAGTGACAACCAAACATTTATTTATTGTTACTTTGGTATTTATTTGTTTATAAACACAATATTCTCAAATATTTAAAAATATGCGCCGATAGTAAAATACTAATATGTTGTATTTTAATCTCCTAAACAATCAATACATCACGTGACCCCTTTACCCTAAATAAGCACCACAGCCTCCTCCGAACGCAGCCCGGTTGCCATTGTCTCGAGGCCATTTCCGCAAGACACCTTTGCAGTACCTTTCCTCAGTATTGACCCATTTACGACTGGTTCGTTACTCACTTTTTAAGTTTACGCATCAAAGTAAACTCATGCATCATAATAAACAGTTTTATGTACAAAGAAAAAATATATTACACGTTATAAACCAATAACCTTCGCAAAGATTTTTCTCGAAGGAAAATTCCTCAGATGTTGGACGAAGAATTGCAGAGGTCGGATGAGCATGAGTAACAATTTATTTCACGCACACGTGCTGGGTACACCAAGGAGCGGATGTCGTCCAGGAGATCGTCGCAGTCTTCGACGAAATCGAACGGTTGACAACCTCGGATGGTCACGCTCGATCTGATCAGACCATGGATGGAAACTGAAAGTTGAATGCATTAGCATGCAGGACTCTTGGTTTCAATGTTTCATGTGCATTTTTATGGCGTTTAAGGGAAACAACATCCGCAAGACAATTGTAAAATATATGGTTGTGGATGTAGAAAAACATCTTGTCTGTATACAGATGAGAGTATCTCAAAAAGGCAAAAGTTATTTGCGTTCGAGACAGATCCAATATATGACACCGGGAGAGATTTAAGAATGCAGAATATACTTATTTCTGGTTTCTAAATGTTAGTATAACTCAAAGTCTTTGTTTTTCCTCTCTAATGAAACGAGTGATTTGTTATAAAGGAACTAATTTATATATAGGTCAGTTCAAGGAAAATGTAATGACGTAATATAACACCATTAACTTCCAAAATCACAACTTGCAATTTTTATTAATGTGGTTTTAACTACAACTCCGAAAAATTTGCTTCAATTTTTTTTATTTTAATAAACTTTTCAGTTAAATAAGTGTGTAATTGTAGGTTGTGGTGTCAGAATATGGATATTTGTAAAACAAGGAATAACTATTACTAGCATCTTTAAACATTTTTAGCAAACATCTGTTATCCGACTTATTTTTACATTTGTATATTATGATCATAAACTCAGAGGTAATTATAATTAACTAACATAATAAGTATTTACGAGTACACGTTGCGCAATAAAGTCTATCCAATATAATCTAATCACATTTTTTGGTAGAATTACAGCCTTAAAATTTTACATAATATTTCAGTTTTCTTTTATAACACAATATACAGCTATTTTCTAGTTTCCCAAATCATATAACTTATTTTATCGCCGTTAAACACAAGAGATTGACCAAGATTTTGCAAGTCAAAAGGACTTTTTCACTCAACTTTAATTCTTTTTATGTTAATGAATTTTAATTTTTGTATCGATGCTGTGGTCTCCTGGTTTTAAAATTTAAATTTCGCGCTGAAAAAAGGAAAAAAAGGGTTGGGGAACTGCATTTAAAAACAAAAACATTTCAATAGACAATTACCCATTAAGGGCATGTCTAATTTACTTTATACTTTTGTTAGACAAAAATGAGTCGCATGCTATGTCAAAATTTTCAACGAATGTAGTTAGTGTAATACAAATTAATTAATGATTTTCTAATCTGAAATCTGTAGAGTAAGTGGTTTTGTTTTATTATTTGTGAATTCACAGTTAAAAATTTTAACTGTTCATGGTTCGAATAAATTTTAGATACAATAATTTAAATATTCATATAAAACACGTGGAAGGAAGTCGACTTATACAGGCTCAACTTATTTTAATTAACGATATATCTAAAAGTTCTGGATGCTTTTATTTAAGTTATTATATTACAACACCCATCATAATCGTAACTTATTTCCATGAGAGATTTAAAAATATGATATTTAAACTAATCTTATACATTGACCCATTGTGAGAAAAAGGACCTTGAAAATTTAATTCAATTAAATTAATGTCATCGTGGACTCGAAAACGGCCGGGCTATAATATTTTTTATAAGTTTAGTAATTTCTTACAAGTGGAATTTGAACATTTATTCCGGAAATTTTTATTTTGACCTAACTTGATTGAATTACTCCGTAATTTAACATCCTGCAAATTGTTTGTAGTTGAAAGATCTTGCTACTGTGTGGTGTAATGAAGATTTCTTTACTTTGCTGTTTCAGTAATTCATTTAATATCAGAACTTTGAGAGTACAAATTCCAAATTAATGCGTGGTCACCTCTATAGACATAATATATAAAGTATGTTGCCGCGGACAGTTTTCTAACCTGTTCTCAACTTAATACATGTCGGACGTTTTTCCCAACACCATTGATTAAATACATATGTATATGTATGTATATGTATGTATATGTATTTAAGGCTTGCGTCTGGTTCGGTTTAGCCCTATACTAAAAACACTGAAAACATCGTCGCGGTTTCTGGAGTTGCATTTTAAAAATATGAGATATATCGCTTTAAAAAAATTATATTTCGAATTAACAAACTTCAGTCCAGGGGACCTCCATATTTATTTTCATATCTAGTATGCAGTTTTTACAAAAAAAAATTATAAAGTTGAACAACTTTTACATCACATTTTAACCGGCACATTGATGCATTTTTTGACGAAGTGCTGAAGTTTTTTGCATTCTGAGATAGGAGGTCCCCTGGGGAAAAGTATCAGCTTTCTTTTGATACCATTTATAATATTAAAAAATCCACGACTGAGGTAACTAACTCGCGAAAAGTCAAAATCTATTGAAACGGGAAATCGGCATTAAACGAGCTGTGATGCGGTAGCAGAATACAGGTTTACTTAGATTCTGACTTGGTTGGAGATTTCAGTATTTTAAAAATGCAATTCCGGAAACTACGACGATGTTTTCAATGTATTTAGTATTGGGCGAAACTGAACCAGACGCCACCCTTAATCAATGCCAACACTAAGAAAACGAACAATTTGAACTTCATCGTTCAACTGCGACAATGTTAGTAGAAGAGATTTTAACGCAATTATCTCGTTAACTTTTTTCTTTATTCTGCTCCGCCTGGGACCAACGGAGGTAAGTGGATGATGCGGTCAATTGTGTAACAGCCCTTAGCTCGCAAAAATGAGTAAAGTAGCTGTTGCAGCTCGTGAATTGCGCAACACAGCGTAACGTTGGAAAGTGCGGACAGCTCGATCGGTTTGATCAGAGCCATCGATCCCTTAACCGTGATCCATGATTTAACACAGTTTGGGTTTTGTTCATATTTAAATTTATCGCCACACCATTGTTGCCGGAGAGCGTGACCGAGGCCTGATTTCACAATTAATTAAGTTACTTTAGGACCTTATTTAAGTTTTAGGATAATTAATAAAGTAGTTTAGCGTAGAATAGGTTCGCGTGCTACGGCGGCTGTTTCCAGTCTGGCCGCCCCGCCGACGGTGGTTATATTTAATACCTCGGTCGGGGCCCCGCCTACTGGTGCAAAATTGCGCGCGTGTGCCGTCAGCTCGCGAAAAAAATAGGTTAATTAGGGTAAGGTAATTAGTAGATAATATATTTAGTGCCAAGAATTAGTTTAGTGTTAATAGGCGATAAGCAAATAACAATTATGCTCCGTTTTCTGTGACATCTGGCGGCAGCCAATCCGCTGCCCAGACGGTGTCCAGAAAACGGTAAAAAAGTATAAAAGGCTGCTAGAAATCCCGCTCAGCATCACTTGTCAGCTAGCGGTGAAAGTGTACGCTTCGGAGTCACAATAAACCGCTCTGCATTCTCTAACCGAGGGTTTTATTACCCCAAATAAATCCCTACACAAGCACACAAATAAAGCACGCAACCAGTTCTTCTCAGAACTTACAAATCGGAGCATACCCGGCTTCCTGGTTCGGGCCGGTGTCTCGACAGGTGAGGGCAGGTCGTCCCCGTCAACCCGCGACGTCGCGACGCCCCGTCCCCTAACACCATCGTGTATCACCATCCTGTTACTTTAATTCAAATTTCTCTTTTATTGTGTGTTTAAATTTGTGATATTAAAATCTGTTTGTAATGTTTGATTTCATGTTTGAAACTTGGAGAAAGTTCTTGTACCTGGTTTTGAGATTTTCCCCCTCCAGGGCATTTTTCCAAGCTTGTTATATATCAATTCAATCATAATTTATAATAGTAACCAAATCCGTTAAAAATATATTCATTGAAAGAATATATGCATCATATAACACAATGTGTCATATAATGTATCATCCCTTTTCAAGCTAAAAACAATTTTAGAAATTTCAATATCTCTATCTGTTCTCAGAATAATAAATGACGAAGTTTTATCCCGGACATATTGTTACACTTAATAACTAAACCAGGTAAACCAACGTTTATTATTACGTGGTGACCAGAATTGGATTAAAATTTCGCGCTGAAAAAAACAGCGGCGCGAAATCGTATTTGAAAAATTTGAATTCGAAAAAAAATTCAATCAAGAAAATCGTTAAACACAGACAACCGTGTGCACCTTTAGTTCTTTCTGAGTAGCTGGTAGCTCTCCTAGGGGAGTTTGTCGGTAGTATCTGATGAGAGGGTTGGTAGTGAAGTTTACTTGTTTTGGTAGAGGGTAGGTGCCACGTCACTGTTGTTTGGTTTTTGTGAGTGGAAGCACACGGTAAGCGAGCTAGATCAAGTTAGTTGGTTTGGTAGTTAGAAAAAAGGAAAGCCTTTGTTTAACAACAGATAATCGTCACGCGCAGCTAATTCTTGCTGTTTTTCCAAGCGGAAATATGCGAATTTTCGACCGACGCTAACACGTGGTGTAAATTTATTTACTGTTTGTAAATTCATAGTTCATGTCAGGATTTTAATCATTAACTGGTCCTAATACAATTTAACAGTCAGGACTTTGTTTATCAAATTATGAATACGGTTTCTGGATGCTTATACTTAAGTGTCACATTATAACACTTCTTAATTCCCCACACAAGATTGCTAATAGTTTATTTACGGCAGTTAAATTAACCTAACGTTGTCTCACTCTGGGAAAAAAACCGTGAAAGTGCCGAAGAATTCATAATATCGTGAACGGGGCAACTAAATTTTTCCCCTTAGGCAGTTATCATCACATCACCGAGATATCTTTCTAGCGACGTTGGAAATTACACCACCGAGAAGCATTTCTCGCGACCCTGGAAGCATTTTGTGTGGGGACAGTCCACGATATAAACTCTTAAAGTTTAAAGTAACCAATCACTTGGGTAAAGTGTGGCATAATTTAACATCACGTAAATTCTTTGTTGGAATCGTTGATAAAGTGTGGCAAATATTAAACGCATGTAATTTTATTAGTTTTGCAATTTTTCCCCTCATGCAATTTTTCTCTATCTCGCAATTTTAGCCTCAGATTAATGTCTCCATCATATAAATTGTCTGATGTCCAATCTTAATCTCAGATAAGAATTCTTTGCTGTTCAAAATTTCACGAGCGTGTCTGGAGAATTCAAATGTTGTTTATTGCTCCTTTTTTGA